AACCTTTGATCCATGAATTTTGCCCAGCACGAATTGCTGAATGTGCTTGGCATGCTCATCATGATTTCACAGTTGATGGTCACACCAGTGCGGTTAGTATCCAAGAACAGCTGATGGCTTGTAGGAATGGTCGACGTCGTGCCCCCTCCAAACCGAGGAAGGAAACATTGTCACAATCGACATGGGACCTGATTTGTGCCAAGAAAAGATGGAGGAATGCACTGCACGAACATCAGAAACTTAGAGATCATGCCTTGCAAGCAGCTTTCTTTTCTGCATGGCGTTTTAGCAAGTGGCATCAAGATGCAATTCCTCATGTTGCTGGTTTTGATGAATTGATCAGCCAGCAAGATTTTGCTATTGCGACGGCACTCTGTCACTTCCGGCGCCTAGGTCGGGATGTCACCAGAGCCATTCGCAATGATGATAAGAGGTTTTTTGCTCTTCTTGCCGCAGATGCATCAGATTTCTTAGCACCTCACCAAGTGAAAGATTTCTGGAAAGTTCTCCGTAGGCACTTGCCCAAATTCCGCACTAGGAGACTAGGACAAGACCCCAATACGCTTGATGTACTCCGAGACCAGTGGGTCCCGTATTTCAGTCAACTTGAGGTGGGTTCCACTAAAGCAGCTAGTGAAATTGTCGATCAATGCCATACGCGGCAAATCCAGATGCCAATCGTGCAGCGTGATTTTCAGATCAGTGACCTGCCATCTCTCATTGAATTTGAAGATGCCATTCGACTTACTAGTCCTGACCGATCTACTGGGTTTGATCCCCTGCCTTCAGGACTTTTCCGTGCCAATGTGGTTGATCTTGCCATGATCTATTTTCCACTAATGCTGAAACAGTGCCTATGGCAAAGCGAACCGCTTACCTCGAAGGGAGGTCAGATGGCTGTGATCCATAAAAGGGGATCCACTCTTTTGGCTGAGAATTATCGGGGCATCATGTTATTGCCGACCATTGCCAAGCGATTCCATGCTCTTATCAGAAAGAGGCTTATGGTCCGGCTGCATGGGCAACGGCCACAATGCCAAATTGGCGGTTTTGCACATATGCAGGTTCCGTTTGGATCTCAGCTCCTTCAGGTGTTTGGTCGCATTATGGATGCCAAGGGTCTCTCATCGGCGATTGTTTTTGTGGATCTCACTAATGCTTTCCACCGATTGATCAGAGAGCTCGTTTCCGGTGTCCATTTGCCTCGAGAAGCAGAGGAGATCTTACAAGCCTTGCAAGCTGAAGGGCTGCCTGCGCATGAAGTAGCCGAATTGCTTGAGCTGCCTTGTTTGCTCCAACAGCTCAATGCACCACCCTTTTTGGTACAGTTGCTTCAAGACTTGCATACGGATACTTGGCTGAAGGCACCAGGAGATGAAAGATTTCTGGTGACAAGGAGAGGCACTCGGCCAGGGTCACCGCTGGCAGACTGCATTTTCCATATTCTCATGGCAGATATCACAAAGGACATCAATCTTTGGTTTACTGAACAAGAGGACTTTCAAAGTATCTTGCATGAAGCAGATTTGGATGTGGAATGCATCGTGTGGGCAGATGATCTGGCGCTTCCGCTAGCAACTAGACATGCTTCCCAAATCCCGACCATCATTGAAGCCGCTCTTGCTCATGTTCACAAGGTTTTCAGGCGTAGATGTTTCTTGCTTAATTTGAATACAGGCAAGACGAGTGTGGTCGCCACCTTTAAGGGTCCAGGGGCTGCAGACCTCAGACGCCAATACCAATTGAACGACCGGCCTGGAATGACCATTGAATTGGGATCCAGTGAAGTTTTCATCCATTTTGTTGCACATTACAAACATTTAGGGACCATGTTCAGCTCCTCACATAGTTTGGATCTTGAGATTGCGACCAGAATTGGGCTCGCTCGCAGTGCTTTCGCCCAAATCGCAGCTCCGATACTTTGTAACAGACATTTACCAGTCAAGACACGTTTGCAACTATTTCGATCCTTGGTGGAATCCAAATTGTACTTTGGCTTGGGAGCGTGGGCACCTCTCACTGTACGACAGAATGCTAAACTACAAACGGCCCTCCTATTCATGTTGAAGAGGGTTTTGAGGCTCAGTAGAGAGGAACATGAGACCCTGACAGCTGCAGACGTTTTCCATCGGGCTGGACACTGCTGCCCGAGAGCCAGGTTGGCATTGGATAGACTGCTGTACGCTCAGAAGGTTTGGGAACATGGACCGCCCCTTCTACAGCACTTTTTGCATAAGGAGGAGGAGCTTAGAGCAGATTCCTGGATGGGAGGCTTGAAAAGTGATTTGGCCTGGTTGCACGCCCTTGAACCTACCACTGCCCCAGATCTGAGCGACCTGACGGATTTGACCGCAGTGTTTGACTTTTGGCAGGCTGGGAATAGGTCCTGGCGATTAAGGGTCAAAAGAGCATGGAAGAGATTTCGTTTCCAGGAGGGTATGACCAACAGTCTTTTTGGCCTACACAAGACCTTTTTCAAGATCCTCCAGCATCATGGTGCTTCTTTCAACCCATCACCATTCACCTCATTGGAGCAACCGCTGAAGGAGTTTGCATGCCCATGTGGCAAGGTTTTCTCTTCGCAGCAGGGCTTGTCATGTCACCGTAGGCTGATCCACAATGAATTTGCCCCGGAACATGCCTTCCTTGCAGGTGTCACTTGTCCAGCCTGCCTTAAATTCTTTTGGACTAAACAGAGGCTTTACCTCCACCTCGCCTATATTCCTAGGCGCACTGGGGTCAACCAATGTTTTCAACAGCTCAAACAGATAGGCTTTCAAGGCCTGCCAGATGGGCAAGAGTTCCAGAAGAAACCTGTGGAAGTCCAAGGCCTTGCGCGAGTTGAGACCATACAGGCCCAGGGACCTTTGATGCATACGGAAGATCGAAGGAGGGTTCAGATCTCCCAGCTTCAATATGAACTTGAACGTGTGCAAACCGACCTTCAGGTTACAGAGTTGCCGCCAGAGGTGACTGCAGCATCCAAAGAACTGAGGACGGCCCTCAGCCAGACTACGAAGGAATGGTTCCAGTTTTTCTGCGACGAAGGTTATGAAGAGAGACTGGCCGAATCCCTGCCTGATCGATGGATATTGCTGCTTGGGGATCCTGAAGGACATTATGATGCATGGTTTGAGGCAGAGTTTATGCAGTGGGGACAAGATGACTTGCCTGATGTCATTGCGGACTTTTTGGATGGACGTGCCGAAAGTTTAGTTGACGATGCCTTTTGCGAGCTTGTCTCTTTGTTCCCCAGATTTGATTTGATGCAAAAAAGAACCTTTTTGCTTGCCAAGCTGAGTTGTCTGGAAAAGGAAGTTGCTGAACTCTTCCCACATAGGTCCATACGCAGAGGTACGGCCAACGTTTCTGAACGAGCCACTACTGCGGCACATGTTCCTGCACGGTTTGAAGAGCAGCAGACATTTTTCAGACAGCTCCGTGAAGTTGCATGGTTTGATTTGCCCAATGAACAGAAAATCCCCATTTGGGCGCAGCCAAGCTCCACACCTATATTTCTGATTGCCCATCTCTTTAGCGGCAGACGGAGGACCGAAGATGTTCATGCGAATCTCATTCGCTGGGCAGCCAAGGCCAATATTCAAGTTCTAGTGCTTTCACTGGACACTGCCAATTCTGAGACGTTTGGTAACCTACATATCATGTCTACCACTTGGTCACAGCTGCTTTTGCTTTACAAAGAGGGGCGCATCGCAGCAACCATTGCGGGTGCCCCCTGTGAAACATGGTCAGCAGCACGACATAGGCCCCTGGATCCAGTGCATGCGGACCAGGATGAACGGCCTACAGGACCAAGACCTTTACGAAGTGCGGAGAGAATATTCGGCTTGGCAGGTCTTACTCTGCCAGAGCTTAGACAGCTCAGCCAAGGAACGCATTTCTATCTGCAAACCACCATCACTATTGCCTGGACGATTTGTACGGGAGGTCTCTACATCAGTGAACACCCTGCCCCTCCTGAAGATGGGCAGATTGCAAGTGTCTGGACTGCGCCCTGGACGACGCTCCTCCGGCAACACCCGGAGGTTGAACTGCACATCATGAGCCAATGGAAGTGGGGCTGTGAAACGGTCAAACCCACTGGACTCTTAACAGTGCGTTTACCAAGGTTTGCCCGCTCGATGTATAGTAGACAGATTCCAGATGCAATCCGTCCAACGAAAGTTGCAATAGGGCGTGGGGAGGACGGCCAGTTCAAAACCAGCGCCTTGAAGGAATACCCTTCGCAATTCTGTGCGGCTCTTGCGGGAGCGTTGATTGATGAATTGCACAGTAGGCATCGTAGTGGTAGGTGTAGAGAGACAGTTCCACCAACGCCTGAACTTGTACAATGGGTCACTGAAGCGGAAGCCTTTTGTGGCCAAATCAGAGCTGACTCAAAGTGGTTACCTGATTATCAGGGCAGTTGAAGTTGGAAGGTCTTCAATTAGCGCATGTTTTTGACAATTAGCTGCAAGACGCGGCAAGGACGTAAATCCTTACAAGCGGTGAATGAAAAAATGAAGGTACCTCCAATCAATCGGTTCCAGCTACTTACAGATGATCCGATGATCCTCGTTCGTAAGCTCCAAAGAGATGCCCAACGTGCTTCCAGAAGAGTTGAAATGATTTTTTTCATATGTTTTCCTCATATAATGTGGTTAACACAATAATAAAGGTGGATTTACCATCTATTCCTATACAAATAGATGTGCGGGCCGAATCGGATCCATAGTTCTTTCATCCATATATCATCATATACCCTCTGGTAAACGTCAACAAAAAACGATGGAAAATCACCATTTTTGATGGGCAAATCATCTACAAATGGTAATTTTCAATAGCAAACTGTTACGAGTAGTTAACCAGAGGTATCCCATGTTTCATCCCATAGATAGGGGATATTCCATCAATCCATGGGACGTTGACCAAAAATTAACGCTTCGTGGTGGCGCAGCCCGCAGCCCGCATCTCCGCCGTTTTTTCTAAGCGATACGCGCCTGCAACGAGTGAGGCATCAGCAGCAGCAGGCGGGTCTTGGAAGGTAAGAGATGGACCTCCAGGATGGATTCGTCCGAAACCTCGTCCAGCAATGGCATGGATGGGGATGAAATGATAGGGAAACATTAAATTTTCCCTGATTCATAGGTTAATATAGGGAGTTATACTACCTAATTTCTTGGGGATTGTGGTCATTGAAGGGAAACATATCCACCAACTAGTATTTCATGAGATCTCTTTAATGGATGATGATGTTAATTATATATATATAATTACAGCGTATTACAGCAGTATATGTGCCAAGTGGAATTTGGATCAGTTTGAATCTCAAAACTGCAGTTTTGGGAGTGTTTTAATGTGTTTTATCTAAACTCTTGGGAAAAAAAACTGTGGATGTTAAATGGTGTTTATGAAGTCTCATAGACGAAAAGGCGTAGAAGTATCTAATATTGAAATTCAAAAGGGAAAAAATGGGGATGGGACCAGCTACCCAGAGTTCTTGCAGCTCTGATCTACCCTCCAGTAAACATTGGGAAATCCCTAACATCGAGATGTGACGGGGAGAATCATCAGATCTATGGGGGAAAAATTAGCATTGGAAAGTCAATAATGGGCTTTCCGAAAGCATAGAATCTGCTCCATTGAATGTGGGTGTGTCTGAAAATGGTATATATATATATACACATATTATGTATATATAATTATATAATATGATATATATATATAATTATATATATATAATATATATACACACCAATGGCAATGTTGATAATTGGGGATAATGATGATGAATCGGTGGATGTGGAATGGGTATCCCATTAGACAAAGCCATGTTTAGTGCTTGCACATGGTGAATGTTGGTCCCACTAAGATAGCAATGAAGAATAAGCCGTTTATATATGATTTACCATGATGTAGCTACTAAAAATGCTGATTGACCCTGGTTGCTACCTTAGTTTACCGGAGGCTTTTTGGGTTTCGTTGTGATGATGTCGCACTGTACCCAGAAATACATCAGCCAACGTTCCCATGGAGAACATCAGCGGCCCAAGCCACGTTTTTCCAAGTGATCCAGGTTTCCTGGGGACAGGCTCAGGAGCGCAGTTGTAAGTGGATCGATTTTTTGGGCCAACAAAAATCCCACCAGGTCCACCAGGTCCTGGATGAGATTGTAGAAGCCCAAGTTGCCTTTGTTGTCAGCAACGATTACCTGAGGCTCTGAGGCACCAAAAATCCCAGGGGATGGGAATGAGCCAAAAAATGCTATAGGCTATAGGTCTTGGCTATCACAAAGCCATTCTGAATGGGAATTCTTGTCTTTAATTACATTGGGATGATTTTTCTTTTAAAAAAATCTGCTGGAAACCATAGGCTTTCCTAGTAAAAATGGGGGTCATGTAAATTTTCCCAACAATTTTTTGTTGGGAATTTGAAGTACCATGATGTCAGCCAGGGCTTAGTCGGCTCGGTCGCATTCTCGGTCCATTCAACTGGTGCAAAAAATGAGCCACTTGAAAATGGGATGGATAGCTTGACGAAATGGGATCTTTTTTTCACGAGGGTTTACGACAACATGTTACGATTCGTAGGATGAATCCTCTATATGTAGCTTCGAAATTTTCACCGATGAAAAATGGTGAGGGATTCCCGTTCGCAAACTGGAAATGTGAAAACCACGGGATGCTTTGGACATGTAGAATCGATCCTGAGACTGCGAAATCCACGAGCATGACACCTCGATTACCTCAAAGATGGGATTGTGAACAAGATGTGAACTTGGGGTCATGTTCCGAAGATGTGACCATCGGATAAGTCTCAATGCTAGCAGATTAGCTCGGCGTGACGCCCTTAGTTCGCTCCCCGATAGCAGTTTTTTGAGCAGGGCTTGATGAAACATGCTGATTTGACGAGTCGACATCCACACTTCACATCGAAAAAAATTGGAAGTGTGCTGGATGTGAAATCAAGACTAATTGGTGGTTTCTCCCCCCCTAAAAAACATTAGTCAATGGGAAGGATTATCCCATATATTATGGAAAATAAAAAATGTTCCAAACCACCAACCAGAAGATTCGAGAATGTACTGATGAGAAATCAGTGTATTTGGAACTGATTAATTCTCACGAAGTTTCGGTGAAATCACTCTCCGCCCCCGGATGACTCCCATCTGAATTACATCTTGCGATGTGGAATCCCAAGCGATGCTGTTGAAGACCGTGTTGCACCTGACCCGGTTCAATCCAGTGGGACATCAGACTTGGCACATAAATGGGGAAACCCATAAATGGGTGGATTATCCCAAATGGATGCTTTATAACCCATAGGATCCATGGTGCTGGTATATATGCTAACATAAAGGGGGTATATTGATGGGATCCATGGAGCACCATATATAGCAGCACCATGGATCCGTCATGGGTAATGGAAACCCTATGAAATCCTATTAAAATACATGATGTTTTTGTGTACCCCCATGACTCAAGAAACTTCCACGTCAGCGGAACCATGAACGAGGGACCCAGGTTGCTTGTCATCAAGGGCTAGGATCAGTTAGACTTAAGTTCCAGCTGGCTGGGCTACCATCATCCCAGGTAGCCCACGATCAATCTTAGAATCGAACACGCTAATCATGTAACGAAAAACTGAGAGTTTACTAAGATATCTTAGAAAGTATTGCTATGTTGATGTTTCTACATTTAATGTAGCAATACTTTCTACATTTACTAAGGTTTTACTAAAGTCTTTTGATGCTTCTACATTTAATTCATTTATGACCCTAGGACACCCCATCCCATCTATCCCATCTCAGCCGATCAGATGGTCGGGTCTGAAATGCTTGGTTCATGGGATGGCTTACTCTTGGATTTACCTGGGACAGTCACTGGCATTTTTGGTGAATAGCTGGCCTAAAATGCCTGGGATGTCATCTCCGACAGAAAGCCCTGGAAACTCTGGGGTCAATTTTTCAATTTAGGGATGGGATGAACTGCCAACATTAGAATCCCTATATATTTGATGGGAACATTTTGGTTATGACAAGTCAAATTTCCAATGAAGCCTTGGGTTTTTTCATGACCTTAAGATACTTTACCCTCTGGTAAACATACAAAAAACAATGTAAAAAAAAAAAAACACCATTTTTCATAGGTAAATCAACCATTTCTATGGCCACGCCGGAAAACCGCCCCAGCGCTGCAGCTGTGCGGCTGGTTGGTTTCCTGAAAGACGGTCTGTCCCGAGACACTGTCCATGGCCTTCAACTTCCTCAGTGGGAAAAAAGCGACCTGGAAGCGACCCAAAAAAACTTCGATGATTTACAGGTGATACTAAGATGTAAAGAATGGTTACAAGGTGGTGCCCCATAGTTAGCTAAGTTGGTTTATAACTCCAATAACTATGGTTTATGGCAGATATAACTATAGTTACTGGGGCTTATAAACCAACTTATAACTGGGGGGCCTCACATTGTAGGGGAAAGCACCATTACGGTGATAGAAAACACGTGAAAACCCATGGTTTTTTTGAAAACACCAGTTTTTTCATGGTTTTCTAGTACCAGTTGGATTTTACAGGTTTTAACAAAGATTTATGGATGAAAACAAATAGACATTGAGAAAAAGACCTTGATGGGATGACCATGTCAGGACCGCTCTATTGTTTTTACCACGCCAGGTGGGTTTGTACTGATGTCTTTCCATCAGTAGGAAAAGGAAGGCCTAGCATCGTCCCCCCTGCGCACCACAGGGGGCCTCTGCCATCACAGAGGTGTATGCATGCACCTAGTCCCTCGTGTTTTGTCAAGGGAATTAAAGTACTACCCTCCTTTCCTTTTCGCCCCAGTCGGCAACGAAGCCACCAGGGTTGTGGAGGGAGGGAGAGAACAGCTACAGAAGGAAGACGGCATGTCCAAAACTCAGTCATGACATGCAACCAGCTTCCCCTTACATGAATTCCAGGGTCCACATATTTCCATGTCAGGACCGCTCTATTGTTTTTACCACGCCAGGTGGGTTTGTACTGATGTCTTTCCATCAGTAGGAAAAGGAAGGCCTAGCATCGTCCCCCCTGCGCACCACAGGGGGCCTCTGCCATCACAGAGGTGTATGCATGCACCTAGTCCCTCGTGTTTTGTCAAGGGAATTAAAGTACTACCCTCCTTTCCTTTTCACGTTACCTTCCTGGCTACGCCGTCAAGCTGTCATGTAACTTTGTAATGGCTGCCCTTGCTAACCCTTTTTGTGAAGAGCTCAGCTGTAGTTCTGTCACCATCGCTGTGGCATCTTGCAAGTACAACCTTGCAGATGATGTGGATTGCCACCTTCCACGGAGCAGCGTTCTCTCCATAGATTGATGCTGAAGAAAATCCCAGCTCGCTCCTCCTCTCCTGAGAGAATAAACTGTGATCAGGCCGTCCAGCTCGAAAAGGTCAACAAGGGAGTTAAAAATGCTTCTGAAGACCCGTTGACCCCGTGCAAGCAGGAAGTCCTTACGAGGCCTGCCAGCACAGGCCTTCTTCAAACTTGCAATAGCCAAAGGGCTTTCAACGACAACCATCTCCGCTGTGTTGTTTCTTTTTCCAGTTTTTGTATAGCCTAGCGACAGCACGGCTCGAGCACCGTAGAAACTGATATCTTTGATCTTCAGCTGGTATAGTTCGCCACTTCGCAGCATTGTGTCGAAGGCTACCAGCATTCCACACGCTTCTGGCAGGAAGCCGAGACCCAGGGCCGCACCTGCCATGGCCTTCACCATGGTGGGGCTGAGGGGTAACACTCGGCGTGGTGGCTCAAGCTTCTGCCACACTTTTGCCAGCTTCCACGAGTGCTTCAAGCGGCCAAGCGCGGCAGGCAAATAAAACTGCAACCCTGCCAGCCCATCACTGGCGAGGGTTTTGTGGCACCCGTCATGGTAGATGTATTCTACCCACTTGGACGCCAGCTCGTCCAAATCTTCCCAATGATGGACCACGTAGTTGAAGTCTTTGGCAAAGTCAAGGAATTGTGTCACACTCTTTTCGTACCTTTCCAGCATGCCACTGGATACCATCTTTCCTTTTAGCGTAAACTTGGATCTTTCGGCTTTTCTGGCTTCTTTCTCGGTTTGGCTTTGTCTTCTGCCCATCTTGATGGGATGTCTGAGGGATTATCCCTCGTGTCAATGTATCCTACCGCCACCACGGTACCACTGGCCACCACCAGCGCTGAATACTTTGACACTCCCACCTGCAGCTTAAAGCTGCTAGTTCTTCCTTTAGCCAAAATGGCTGCGACCACTTGCGAATCAACCAGATGTAGGATACGATGACCAGACCTGCATGCCTTACGTAACCTCCATCGCAACCCATTTAGCACTGCCTGCAGTTCTAAACCATTGATGTGTGCTTTTTGCTGCCACGAATACCCATGTACAATGGACCAGTTAAAGAGACGTGACCTCAGCCCTGATCTTGGCCATGCTTTCATTCTATAGGGAACATTGATATCCAACCTAACGTCAGTGCCACCCCTCTCACCGTGGCGAAGTATGTGACTAACCAAAGTTTGAACTTTTGGGCATTCGAAAGAACCACTGACAAATTGTGGGTATTTCGTCCACCCTTCAGGAGCAACCCCTGAAATGCGAACCAGTTGCTGAGGGCATCGTTTTGTCTGGGCACCATGCTGACGCAGGCACTCATGCAGAAGCATGATGAGGGAGTACACGTTGAAGGTGTTGCCTATCATCTGCCCCCCTATAAGTTCTTTTTGGGATGCCGTGGCCTTTGAACCAAAGCTACTGGAGACATACCCGCGGTCAAAACCCATCACTCTTTCTTTTTCTACAAGGCTTGGAAGGCGAAGATTACCTTCTGGAGTCGTGATCATGTTGTGCTCCTCATAGTTGTAAACTTGAACGAAGTATGAGTCATCCTTCCATCTTTCAAGGGCTGCTGCTGAGGCAGTCTCCACCCCTGCAGGCTTGTAGGGCGGTCGTTGTCTTCGCTTTGGCCTTGTGAAAGTTGGCAAATGCCCCGGTGCTTTGGGAGTCCACGTGCACCCCGGTTCTAGCCACTCACTAGCCGGCCCTCTCACGCACGGAAACACCCACTTCCACCATAAGCCCATGTCTTCAAGAACTTCTGACCCTTGCGCTTCTACCTTCCAGCTAGGCCAATATAACCGTGGCCGACGGCAGTGACAGAAATGGTGGGCATCCAGAAAAATCGGCTTGACGCCCAAAACATCTGAGAACTGTTCCACATTGTCTGCTGTCATACTGGCCACGTTTTCAACAAAATACTCCACTGGCACCTCAAAATGAGACTTCACCAGCCCAATGATCCGGGGTACTTCGAAGAAAAGCCGTGATCTTTCTCCTTCTAAACCTCTTCCAGCTGCATTCAAACCACTGAGATCTTGGCATGGCGACCCCGCACCAACGAGGATAAGGTCGACTTTGTAACCCACTGATGCTACGAGGTGCTCCATGAGGTTTGCATCTACTTTTGTAACATCGCCAAGTTCCAAAACTCCAGGCCAACGTGTACGTGTCAGCCGCTTGCATGCCTTGTCCACTTTGCAAGAGACATATCCGACTATTTGGCAGTCTAACCTGGCCAACGCGACCATCATAGCACCAATGCCGTCGAACAGCGAGATGACCAGCACACGGGGGCCAGACTTCGTGTGATCGATTGAGCAGCTGCCTGCTGGTGTGAAGGACACCTTCTCACGATCAGGCCCCTTCTCCTCCAAGCTCCTGAGCGTCATGAGTCCTTCCGGTGTCAGTCCTGCACTGGCACATAGTCCTCCACCTTGTTCTGAAGCGTTTGAGCACGTTACCAGCCCACTCACTGGTGTGAACAGGTTGCTTACCGCCATTGGCAGCACGCCTATTGCAGCTATCAGCTCCAGTATCGTCCTCTGCGACAAAGGGCGGCACACCACCGCCTTGTGCTTTGGCCAGGCCCGGTTCAGGATGGACATCAGGGGGCGCCTAAACTCAAACGCCCTTGTAAGCCGCCCCAAAATCATCATCAGCACCTTCTGGCGACAAAGTTTTCTTTGAAGGGCCCACATCACAAAATAGCCACACTCCAGCTTCTTTGTAATGGGGACACCAAGCCAGCCCCCTTGGCCATCTATCTCAGCTCCCATGCGCTCAACACGCACTTCTCGTACATGTGCTTTGTCCTTGGATATCTGCACTCCAAACTTGTCATAGGCGGCCCTTTGCTTTGAGTGCTTTAAGGACATAGTACCCTTAAGCTGGGACACCATCTCTCTAGGCACGATCTCCGGGCAGTCGAAGTCATCCAAGTAGAACGACACCCAGCCCCCCTCGCACTTCGTAGCACTGGTTGGCACAGGTCGATCTCTTCGCATCTCTGTGCACCCCTCTAGGCCAGCACCTAGGGGTTCTGTTTGAAGCCCTATACGTCGATGAAGATGCTGAAAGAGGGAGACTGAGTTGATCCATCCCATCGGTATCACTTTTGAGGCTAACCAAACTTCTTTCTTTTCTGGCATCCCCACAAACTTTCCTTCAACAGGCCATTTGAAGGCCATCAGCTTTCTCCATTGGGGAGGCAAGCACCATGCATAGAAAGCGCCCTTCTGATCATCCCCTGACCAAAGCAATGCTGAGCCAACAGGCAGCTGACACCCAGCCCAGTGGCTTGCAGCAGCCAGGGTATCAAGGTCTCCCTGCTTTAGATACTGCAGCGCATTCGACGGAGTCAAGTTCATTATAAGCCTCGTGACTCTTTCTTCGCCAGGGGCGGGAGTGCCCTTCTTCAAAACGCAGAAAAGTCCGTTCAACACTGGCTCACCACCAGCCCTATAGATCTCGTCATATTCGATGGGAGTCAGAATGTTTCGCGCCACCAAGGTCGAGGCTATCTCGTTCCAGTCTTCACGCTTGACATTCATCGAAGCCTTTGGCAGAGGATTAGGCCAATCTTCTTGAGGCCTGATGCACGCTTCGGGGTTGTTCAGCCAACACTGAACTTCCTCACTTGCAACTGCGGCCGCATCCAATGAACCAGCCACCGCACCGTCTGGAAGTCCAGGCAAGAGTTCACCTAGGCGCAGCGGCAGTGCATGAGATATTCCCTCCCCCGTATAATCAACACCTTTCATCCTCACCAGCTCGTGAAAATCCACTGGCCCTAGTTCTTTGAGGGGGTCTTGGCAAAAGTAGTTGCAACACTTCTCAATGTTGTCCCGGGCTTTCATCTGAGAGGGGGTGTGGTTTTCCCAACTATCAAAAATAGGACCTTTCCA